TGTATCAAATATTAATGTAATTTTTAACAGGCATAGAAAGAAGAAAGTTTGAACTATTGTCTTACGTCTTTCCATCCTTATAAACTACTTAATAATTTACATAGTTATTATTGAAATTCTTCAGAATAAGTTGAGATATTTAACATAATTAACTCAAAATTCTCATTTCAGATGCTTTTTATTAAAGTTTTATAATTGTCTTATTCCAATAAATATTATTATTATAAAATTATGTAATAAGTATTATTTACATTTGTGTGTATTTTTCATCATTCAATCTATATAGTTCATATACAATATGTAATATATATATAAACATATATCATATATACATATATATAGTTCAACACAGTCGCTTATGTAATTTAGTACGCATTTGGTATAACATTTAATTGTCAAGTATCGAATAATATAAAGAGATAGTATTCCTCGTTACAATCATACCTTGTATTCAGATACTTGCGTTTTACGTAGTAGTTGAAAAGTACTTGAACAAGTATTATTTACGTGAATACGCATTACATCTGTTCATCGTAATGATTACTTTTGAATATTCTCAAAATTTTGAAAAAATAAGATTTAAAAATTAACGGTTCAATCTGTCCAGATTGTTAATGAATTATTTTTTTGTTATTGTTTCATATTTTCATTATTTAATAAACATTAAATATAATAAAATAAATTACATTCCACTTAGAAATTATTTAGTAGTTTGTTTGTTAATAAAACATATTTTTTTATTTGATAATTGATAATATCTATGATTTATTTGAAAGTAGAGATATGGAGGTTAGGTATGATACAAAATATTGGACAAATGACCTCTGTCTTGGCACAATATGTTAATTCTTTTAATGATATTTCCATAACATGTTAACATAATTGTTCGGAAATGTTGTGTTCTAATTTCATCTTTGAGGGCTTCAATGGTTTGTGGCTTATTGATATACACTTTAACCTTAAGATAACTCCAAAGAAAGAAATCTGACGGTGTCAAGTCACATAAACTTATCGGCCAATTCACATCTCGTCGCAATTTACAAATGATATATTCTAAATTTATCATCTAAATTTGAAAATTATATCCTCAATTAATCCAATACGAACTAGTTCCATTCCAAAGGGTTGCTCGTAAGTCGAATTTGTTCGTAAGTCGGGGAATTTAAAAAAAATTCAAAATATACTTATCTTAACGCACTGTATCATAATTTTTACTTTTATATATGTTAAATTCCGTATTACTGACTGCATAAAATTGAAAAAATAGATTAAAATAAACAAAATACTTACTTGCAAATACTTTCAATGAAAACATCACAATTATTTACTAATAAACGACAAAAGAAACAAATGCAATAAAACAGATAGTAAATCTTCCAAAAATATTATATTTTATTAAGCAAATTTTTTGTTTGGACATTTAAATTTTTATCACTATATATCTCCTTGTAACAAGTTATAGCTTTTAGAATTTTGTTCGTAAGTCCGGTTGTTCGTAAGTCGGGTGTTCGTAAGTCAGTACCTGTATTAATGAAAAAAAATGTATAGATAAATTTGTTCATCTATTTTTATTATACATAACAGTTACAATAAATTGAACCGCGGATTTCAGTTGCACGAGTGTTATTGTTTAATTTTTACAAATGCATCGCAATGTATTTATCATTTCAATCGGATCATGTAGATTACAAAAACGCTGTTAAATCGTACACGTCCACAAATGGGATATTTAATAATAGTAAATAAATACATATATATGAAAATAGTAATAAAAAAAATATATATACATATATATTGTAAATATATTCATCCCCGAAAAATCAAAACAAATTAAATTTATTCCCTTTTAAACGATTTTTATTTGCATTATTCGGTTGCATGCATACACTAAACACATATATGTACATACATATGCTTTGTTTTTCATTATTATTTTTCGGTAGCGCCGAAAACGAGTGATGGCTGAGGGTTCAAAGGGGGGAAGGGGAGTTGAGTTTTGGAGAAGAGGGGTTGTGAAATGCATTTAAAAATCGCGCTACGTTTTAATAAAACTTAATTAAACCCAATATAAATAATATAAACAATTGCCGAATTATTTAATTAATCCTATTGATTTCGTTACGTAATGCCGCGGGGCCCCGGTATAAATGATAACAATAACTGGCGCACAACGACCAAAAAAAAATGTGTGTGTGTGAATGTATACGTGGAAATGGATATACGTGTATGTGAATAAAAAAAAGGAAATGCAACTGAAATGAAATAAACAGATGGAACGGACTGGGGGGGCAGGAATGGGGGGAGGGCATCGTTCTGCGAATAAAATAAAATGCGTATAAAACTGCATAATGCTAAATTGAACGGAATTAAAACAGGAAACCCGAAAATAATACCAGCGTTTAAATAAATTTCCAATAATTTTGTTCGCGCATACTATAAATGATATTATTCGAATGGTATTCATCTGCGGAATGATGGAATTATTACTTTGACTAATTTTATTTTTACTACAGAAATTCATTTATTTGAGATTTCAGTTTAAATCTATCTCTTGAAGTTACTTTCAAATAATAACAAAAAAAATCTAACTGGAAATTTCCATAAAATAACTTAAAAAATCCATTTTTTTTAATCGTCCTTTTTATTCACTATTGTTGTATAATTAAAACATTCAGTAAATGATCTGGTTGACAGATTTTAATTGGACATCGCCCATTGGCAATGATCCTTTACTTATTAGTTATTTGTTGAATCTCAATGACAGATTCAGTGGCTTATGTCGCTTCAGTCTCTGTGTTGTTAGGCTATTGTCCAGAAGATTGACAGCTAGTACGTTTGGATGTCTGTCTAGTCTATTTTGGTATCGGCTACTGTTTTTCATAATTGTTTCCTCTGCTGTTTCCATTTGGAGGTCCTTACGAATTCTCCTATTCGTAATATACCATGGAGCACCAATGATCCTTCTTAGACTCTTCGACTAGAATCTTGGTATAGTCGCAATATTAGATCTACCACTGAGTCCTATAGCTGTATTCCGTTTGTCCAGATAAATTTTAAGCTTTATAGATAAGCAACTTTGTTTTCTTTCGAAATTGGCGAGTCTTCCCGTAGTAGGCAGTAGAGTTTCCTAAACTTAATTTGAAGTGGTTCTCTTTTTTCTTGGATGGGATCCTTTCAGGTCAATCTTATATCTAGATGCATACCCAAATATTTAACTGTATTAGCCGCCGGTATTATTTTTTCGTTGAGAATCACTGGTGAACAGAATCCCTTCTCATGGTGAAGGTGACATGTACAATGTTTTGATACATTGATTCTCCATTTTTGTAGCTCTTCCTGTATGTTTAGGTTTACTTGAAGGTGATGTGATGCAACTGCTGGGTCTGCATCAGATAATAATATCGCAGTATCATTGGCAAACGTAAAAAATCCATCTGTATACAAATATTTTCTTCAGTCAATGATCTTTGTTTCTATAAAATATTCTTGTAATATTAAAACTAATACAATGAAAATAATTAAAAAAGCTCAAATTATTAATATTTGTTCTTAATTGTTTATGTAATTTGTTTAATTTGACAAAATTTATATAAATTTATTTGTTATGTAAATCGTATTCATTCCTTAATATTTTACAGTTTCCTTGAAAAATGTAACTTAAATCGTAAAATAAATGTTTGTATATTGTTTTTTACTTAATAAATTGAACAAATTTATAATTTTACAAATTTGTAATAATTTAGTTTTTGTAGTAATTTTGTAGACGACTGCTGTCGTCTTTGGAAGAACGCTTTTCTCGAATCCTTCAAATATGTGAGGACAATTGACTTGGGGTTGTTCGATTTTAAGATAAAGTCAGATTTGTCTCCAAAATGAAATCCATCCTGTTTGTCGGGTTTTTAACCACACATTGGCCAATTGAGTTCGAGTTATTGGCTCTCCACAAAGAGAAGGAGGTATGTGCGGGATCAATTCGATGTTTATTAACTTACCTTATTGAAAAGATGAAAAATTATATAAATTTTGGTAGTTGCTCAAAAATACTTTAAAAAAAACTAAACACTGAAAATGTTAATTTAAAAAAGTGCATTACATAATACGGAATATTCGTGTACTCGTAAGTTTCAAGTGATACATACTGTTCGGAATTATGTAAAATTATGAAATTTCTGAGTGAAATTTTTGTCATTAGAGAAGAAATAATGGTGAAAAACAAACTGCAGACTGAAAATTTACGAATAGTAGAAATCATATATATTGAGTGATACTTCATAGATGAATAATTCGATGTTTCTTTTTAAGTTATCTTATTAGAAATGATGTAAAATTATGTAAATCTTGAGTGTGGGTCTCTTTGAGAAAGTGAAAGAAGTAATGGAGAGAAAAGCAAAAGAAGGGCAAACGAAATGAAAAGAAAGTATGTTCGAGATTTGCATTTATTCAGGATATATGCAAATGACGTATGCTATTTCTTTTGTTGTTTTCTTTTTGCAGTTATTTACTAGGTTTGCAAATGGAGACCGGGTATATGTTGTATATATGTATGTGTGTGTATATATGTATGTAGTCGGACGTGGTTTGGAGTAGGTCGTAGAATGGTCCGATAAGGACGGGCAGATGGAGCGTCTTGGTGGTCGGAGCGGTAAAGGAACAGCCCCAAGAAAACCGCCGAGCGGGATGCGTAGATACGCCGCAACGGTGGCGGGATAAGGAGGAGAGGATCCGGCGACGGCAAAGGGGGGGCGAAAAAACGGGAAAAGACGTCTGGAAGACATCGGGCGCCTGCGTCGGAGTTCTGGTAAACCTCGAAGAAACGACGATGGTTTGGGGGGTAAAAATCCAGCGTCTTTCCTGGTTGGCGGCGACGACGGCGGTGGCGGTCTACCTCAACACGCCCCGCCCACGCCGCCACGCCACCCCCGCGACACCCTCCTGCACCCCCCAACATTACACCCCCGCGCGACGCACTTTTATACTTCTTCTTAATGTTGAACCGCCTCGCGCCGCGAAAAGAACTGCTAACGACCACCGCCGCCGCAACCGCTGCCGCCGCCACCGACAGACCGAACAATCGCCGCGAATCTTGAACGCACACGAAACCGATAAAAAAATATATTATAAATTCATCTATTCACCTAAGGGATACTTTACCATTACATCAAAATCCATATACCATAAACTGACACAAAGTAAGTTCCATGCATCTATCTACACTTCAGTATACTCACTATTATCCGTGCACGTACTTTTTAGTGATTAGTTTCATTTGGTCCTACTACCCTTGGAGAGTTCAGAAAAAAAAGTTATACTGTCGGCACGTTGGGTCCAGCCAAGGGGAAGCGCTCTGAATCAGCTGATTTCTGATTCATCTTCTCCCCCTTCGGCACCCTCCTAACATTGCTGTTTATTAATTTCGCAGAGGCATTGTAACACGAGACACGCTCCTACAAAGAGAGATAAAGATACATGTAGAGTAATAATAGACACAAGTAACTTGATACCCTCATTCCAAAAAAATAGCATCCTCTATTGATAATTTTCAGATTCAAATCGTTTTATTCTTTTATTATCAGCACATTTCACTTAATATAACCATAGTTTATATAAGTATGTAATTAACTTACAACCATTTGAAACTAATTTTAGAAGGCACTTGTTGTTTAACACTCTTTTATTTATCTAATTGATAGATATAATATCAACTAATTTATTATAAATTGTGCAAGAATATACTTTAAAAAAATGACATATTTTTGGATATTTTTTTACTAAATAATTTATATAATAAAAATAATTTTGTATCTAATATTAAATAAATTATCATTAAAAGTTAAAATATATTTCCATCAAAATGTATAGTATTTGCTTACTAATATTTTCAAATTATAACGAATTTTTCATGCGTTTTTACATAACATTATTATTTACCAATATTGTAATTGTGCATTATATAATGTAAATATAAAATAGTATAACTAAGAAATCAATCAATATGCATTTTGTTACATAATTGAATAAATAATTGAAATTTTAATTAAGAAACTTTTTTATTATAAAAACTTTTAAAAGTTTCAAAAATGATTATGGAATTTCAATAATCAAATGTAAACATTTCAATGAAATAAAATCATGACTTTTTCTAATAAGTTAATTATTTTAAACTGAAAATTGATGGCGACATCTATGATTAAAATATTGTTAAATATGACAACCGCATCTGTCAAAACATACAATATGACAATTGGTATTATATAACAATTATAACATACAAAATATAAGCAATTAAAGGGTAACAATTATTAAAAATTTTACTATTGTCTTGTGTCAGAATAGTAGTAATAATTTAATTGAATTTGATTGATTTTAAAACTTAATATTGTGTTTTAGCTAGTTTTTAAAGTTTTTTGATCACCCATTTACTATGCTTAACTTTTTGCAAATATTATATTTCTTATATTAGTATAGTAAGTGTAGTAACTTTTATTGACAGCAATTTTTATTTTTTTTAAATTTAATTTTACAAAGTTTTTTTGTTTAAAATTATTTTTTTTATAGATTTTACATATGTAATACTTATATCTAGTGTTTTTAGTAGATTTATTGAATTAAAAACTAGAAAATCCTTATTTTTTAATATTTCATATATTCGATGGATAAATTTGGATAATTTGAGAAAAAAAATAGAATTGATAGTTAAAATTTAAAATTATTACATATTAACAATAATATGCATTAAAATTGGTGTAAGCGTCGGGCTTTAAAAAAACTCTTAATTTATAATATTTATTATGTAATAATTGACTGCAATACAAAATAAAATAAAAAATAAATATATTATTTATACAACGAATTTTGAACATTTTTAATCGTACGAAAAATAAAAAAAACAATGGAATATAGTACTGCACTCGAATCAACGATAACTTGGTTTTTATGATTTTGTTGATTCCTTTTTTTTTTTCGTTTGTTTGTTTCATTATTTTTTTTGTGTGTTTCATTATTTTGGTCGGAATTTCTGTTGTTGATGTGGTGGGATTGCGCGGATAGTCTGCATGTTTTCGTAGTATGGAAAAAATATACAGAAATTATTTTATTATATGAATTCAATACCTGATTTTGTCTGTCTATAATTCGAAATACGTACTTTATATTTTCCATTACAATTATTGTTTATTTATAATGCATATAATATATATTACATAACTTATTTATTTACTTTGTATTTAGCTGCTCGTATCCTTTTATGATTTGTATTAAATAACAATATTTTTTACTATTTTTTGTATTTTTAACATCGACTTATCGCATTAATACTATTAGATACAACTTAAGAATGAAACTGAAAATCTTTAAGTACATGAAATTCGTACTTAAGTTAAATTACATTAGTTACATTTTAAAAATATATAATTCCATTTATTCATTTACATGAATCGAATTATTTTTCAGAGAATTGATATGTAGTATTATTGAGAAAAATCCATTATTTAATTATGTTTTAAGTAGAATATGATTTTTATTTAGAATCATCGTAAGTTTTAAGCATCCAAATATAGTTGTAAAATCACTGTATAGTAGCCTATTAATACCTCACTCAATAAGTTCGTAGTATGACCAATAAAACAACAACTTTTGGGCAATATTCAAATTTATTCATGAACATAGTCTCTTTCAAGAGTGACACATTCATGCCAACTTCTTCATTCTAACATTTCGATACCTTTCTTGTAGAACTCAGTACTGTCCACTCACCTGATGACTGATTTGACTCCAGGTCTCATCCATTGTTACATATCCATTGTTGTTTTTGGTCCACTTTAAACTTGAACGTGGTACGGATTTTGAACAAAGCTTTCTCATTATCAAATGCTCATGCAAAATGGTGAATACACTGCTTTCTGATATCTTCAGGGTATCAGCTATCTCACGCAACATCAATTTACGATCGGCCAAAACCATTTTGTGGACTTTTTAATTTTTTTTGCAAAAATTTGGGCAACAATTTCACCATCATTTGTCCCTGTACGACCGCATTTAAAATCAGCAAACCACGTCTCTACCATTTATTTCGACGGAGAAGAGTCCCCATAACACTAATCAAGCAATTGCTTTGCATCGGCGGTATTTTTTCCCATCAGAAAGTAATGTTTTATCAACACACAAAATTCAGATTTTTCTATTGTTTCTAAAATTACAAAAAAGTAGCATCACTAAAACCACTGCAACTTATGAACTAAACGTCAGATTATCATGAAACTTTGACAGGCGTCGTCTGAAGGTTAGTACTTCCTAAAAATCATTTGGATTTTTCGATAGCGGCTCCATATATATGCCATCCTACAAACTTATTGAGTGAGGTGAATTTAGATTTTTCCATTGTTTTGAAAATTACAAAAGTAGCGTCAATAAAACCACAAGAACTTATGAACTAAACGTCAGATTCTCATGAAATTTTAATAAGCCTCGTCTGAACGTTGGTACTTCCTGAAGCTCATATTACGATAGAGACTACATGTATATGTCATCCTATCAACTTATTGAGTGAGGTGTTATGACTGGTCAATAAAATGTATTTTATATCAATAACAAATAAAAAAATTATAAAATTTGTATCTTTTATTTTGAAATATATCTAAATATTAATTTTCTAGTATAAATATGATTGATATTTTTCCATAGAATTTATATTAATATTATTTATTATTAGAGAAATTATAAAATAATAGTTAATAAAGTAAAACAAACTTTTCTGCGTATTAGTGATTTTTTTTCAAATATTATAAGTTTTAATAATAATATGGATTATAATTATTTGTATTGATTATATAAGATTTAAATTGGTCAATTTGTTCAATAAAAATAACATAACTAAAGAACAAATTTTTATATTTTATATTCATTATGTAATAATAATATATATGTGATTTCCTCGATTTACGTTGATTCAAACTGACGCGCTCTACCCTAAGCCTAAATTTATTATTCAATAATAAATGTAAATGACACAAAGAAAGTTAATATTTCCCTGGAGTTAGAATATAAATATTTTATTTATTAATTATACACAAAAAAGGAGAGAAATATGAATATACCATTTAACAACTGAATATGAAAGAATATTATTGATTATACTTGAGAGAAACAAAATTACATTTTTCATTACAATATTTGTTTCTTTTGTGCTACTTACCTTAAAATGGTAGGTGGAAATTACACACAAAAAAATGTGTAGACTTTTCCAGGAATTATAATATATATATTTTATTTATTATTTACACACACATACAAAAAAATGGAGGGGAATATGGAAAATGTGTATATGCTATGAATAAAATTTTGACGCAAATTCTCTGCGTGCATTTGTGTGTGAGTGTATGCGTGTACGTGTGTGTGTATGTGCTGCATGGGACTGGGTGGTTGTGTGTGTGTGTGAGCGGCGTGTACGTGAGATACGAGTGGCTGGTAATTAGGGATACATATAGCTGACCCGCGGGGGTTACGTGGGGGTGTAAAAAGGCCAACCAGGGGTTTGAGTTCACGCGCACTTTTCCATGTGTGGTCTGCCACCACCACATTACCCGGTAAAATCACAGCCGGTCTGATTTTTCATCATATCTGCGCCTGTGTCTACAATATACATGTGCGAATTAAAAAAATACTCGCCTCTCTTTTTCGCGTAGTTAATAGGCAGTTAGTGTATAGTGCGCATCACCTCCGTGTGCATAGCACACCCACACACATTCGGAAAACACGTACATATATACACACATACACATATATAGACACAAATACACACGCGTAAAATTCAAAATTGTAGAAGCGAAATAGTGCGTGTAAAGAAGTTGAATAAGAAATCTGAAGGGGAAAAATACAAAAAAAAAAATAACAGACACAACGTTCGTTCTTTCGTTTCAGATACATCATCGCAACGTCAATTTGTCAGGGTCCTTTATGCCGTTGGGGTGTAAAAGAGAAAGCACGAGGAGTCAGATCAAAAGAATCTTGTGGTCCATTGGTTTCGCGTTCCGGCTGCCAGAAAGGAAATAAAAATGTGTGCAGAGAATATTTGAAGTGACATTTAGGTTTTTTTTTATTTCTTCTCTCCCTCTTATCATTATCGTTTCCTTTATTATTTTTCTTCTTCTTTTGTTGCTCATTACGTGGTTTTCTTCGCGAAAGTACTGCTATTACTGAAAATTTAGTATAGAGCCAAGTGCATGAGTGAGTCAAGTGTGTGACCGTGATTTTGGTTGGGAAGAGATGCATCTGGCCAGCGAGGTTACATCAACCACTGGTCACTACGACCGCACCACCACCGCCGCCTCGAATAACTCTGGAGGCTACGGGGGCGGCACACTGACGGCGGAAATGCTAGCGGAAAGAACATTGGACGGCCTCCTCGCAGAGCATCCCGGTGAACTGGTGCGAACCGGAAGTCCGCACGTCGTCTGCACTGTGCTTCCGCCTCATTGGCGCTCCAACAAAACTCTTCCGATTGCCTTCAAGGTGGTAGCCCTTGGTGATGTCGGTGATGGTACTGTGGTCACAGTTCGAGCAGGGAACGATGAGAATTTCTGCGCGGAGCTGCGGAACTGCACGGCGGTGATGAAGAACCAGGTGGCAAAATTCAACGACCTCCGTTTTGTGGGACGGAGCGGCAGAGGTGAGTGCGCCCACCCTTATATTTAATTCCAAAGAAAAAAAGTATATACAAAGTCACCCCTCGAAATTATTAACTACAGCCTAAATGGGAAAATCATACTCATAATGAACACTTTGTTAGAGAACTTCCTGAACAACTGGGGCAGCGTTCAGGGGGGTGCGAAATAATGATAGATTGCGCACACACACCCTCTTCCCCCGTCAGTCCTTTTAAATTTAGCAGTGGAAAAAAATGAAGGAGATAATAAAGACGGTGATGGTCTTGGCCGAACAAACGATCCAAAATTGAATTCCATTCTGATTGGACATCTTTTGTTACGTGCGATTATTTAATTTTTTTTCCGTTCCGAATTCAACGTTTTCCGGTTTAAATCCTGCTAATTTAATGCTCAAAATCGATTTGATTTATTCCATATCACTCCTTCGCATTTAATTAATACAGTTCATACATTCATCACAATTTTAATTAATTAATACAAATTTCACAACAAATTTACAACAAAATTTTTGATAATTCTTTTTTCTATTTAAATCTTAAAATAATAAACAGATATTAATAGAAATTACAGTAACGGTGCGGCTTCAATTAGTGCAGATTCACTATAGTACGGTTTGAAAATTGGAAATAAACTAAATTTGAATTAAACAAAATTCTAAAAATTGTTAACTTTTATTTATAGTTTTAAAGTCCTCAATTAGTACGGTTTATATATTTTCAATTTTACAGAAAATATGTATTTTTTTTTTATTAAAATTTACGTTACACGTTTAATTAATACAGTTAATAATAATTTTGTTTAATTATTTATTCGTAATATTCGTATTCGTATTAATGATATTCGTATTCGAATATCATTAATTAATTAATAATAATAATAATTTATTTATATTTTTTGTTATATTGTAATGAAAAAAAAAATGTTATTTTTTTTATATTCAGTTTTATTTGTTTAATATCATTCCTACACATTTTATTAATTAATTTCATGTATACACATTTTTAATTAAATACTTTTATTTAATAAAGTAATATATTTTTATTGGAATACCTGTCATTAGTGAATACCAATCACTTGGTCACGTTGGTTTTGATAATAACCACAAATCAATAGACCACAAAAATTTGTAATAAACAATTTTATATTTGATTCAATTTTAATTAAAAACAAATATATTTATCGACTAGTTTCAATATCAATATCAAAATGTATCAATTTTCTCATAGTTTTAATTATCGAAACTAGTATATTTTCATATAAATATTGTTTTTATTGGCTTTAATTTAGGCTACTTTTATAATAAGTTGAAATTGAAATTTTCATAATTTTTGAGATCTTTATATTTTTAACAGGAAAAAATATTGGGTGAAGTAAAAAGTTCTAAGCGTTTTGTCCCATACATCGAGCTTGTTCTTGAGACTCATCGGTTTTCTGCCTAATCTTCAGTTCCTGGGCATTGAAATAAGTGCTCGCATATCGGTCCGACTCGACGATTTCCATGATGTTATCAACATTTTCGACGATTGACATGTCTCATCTTTGACGTCCATATTACCAGAACTGTATTGGATCCATAAACAACACAATTTTGGCCGCCTGCTCCACTTTTTCCCCTTTGTCGTGGTGGTACTAAAAAACTGAACTGAAGAAAGTTTCTATTTTTTTTCTCCTTTTTAGAACGCTCTAACACATAACTGGACTAACTAAACACAAAACTGTCAAAGAACTTTTTTTTAAAGCGTTATATCGTCTTTAAGTCGCAGTATAGAATGACAAGATACAACGTATACATCGTGAGATATGGCTCACTAAATCTCTCGGAACTTTTTACTTCAAAATATATTGTTCAAAAAATAATTCCTGATTTTGAATCATTATAAAGTATATTTGACTATTAATTTTGTAAATTTTTTCAATATTTTTTTAAAATATTTTACAATAGAAAAAGATGTAATAAATATAAATAATATTGAAATTCAACATTAATTTCATTATTTACTATACATTTATTTTGTTGGGTTAGCTGTACTCTTTTTTTTTTCGTTTATTTCTGTTGTTAAATGTGTTGAATTACAATAAATATTTTTGTTATATAAACGGAACTTTGATTTATTTATATTTAATTTGCAGCGGATTTTAGTTTCCCCTTTTATATTTTTGTTTATTTGTAAAATGCTTTGATGTTTGAATTCACCACGTTGATTTATAATTATACGACATTCACTAAATATAGGTATCAATAAATTAAAAGCAACAAAAAAAAACGAAAATAGAAAAGTTAATATTTTCTATTTTTTTGAGTTATGGAAATTAAATTTAAATTAGTAGATTATTGAAAAATTGTTGATTATAAAAATGTTATATATTGTTGTGTTACATAAAGTATATGATTTCTATTGAGAAAATGTTTATAATTATAATACTTATAAATTAATGGATGTAAATCCACAAGTTTAAGTTGTAATTTTATTTTGGAAAAAATTGGTTCTAAAACTGGGTGCTTTTTATATGGAAGTTTATGTAACACATTCTTGTTTTTGGACCGTAAGAGTCTTATACTCAGTAAGTTTGTAAAAAGAAGATTATTTTCTTGTTAGTTTTAATATATTTTCAAAATATTTTATCATTAATAATTAAAAGTAATTTTGTAATTAGAAGTTGATTTTTTGTTATTTCTTAATATTATTTATTAATGAAAAATGTTATATTTTGTTTAATATTAATTTTAGCTACAAAGTTCAGTGTTAATTGTACAGAAAATACTAAATTACAATATCATAGTAAATCAAAGAAATGGTAAACAAGAAATGAAATCTTTGGGTGTACAATAAAACTGAAGTTTTACGAAGTGATAAAGAACGATTTTATTCGGCGCCAAAACCTTTCGCCATCCAGGGATTTCGCTAAATGGCACTTAGCATATAAAAAATTTAAATGACATTTCAAGGCTCATTTAATTGCCGAAACTTTTATCTCGTTCGAATAGATTTTACGCTCGTTCACGGACTCCTAAACTTTCTGAATTTCATATATATATATTGATATAATTGCGTTTTGTAAAGTCCAAAACTTTAATTATTAATAAAACAAAAAGAAATTTGCAAATATTCTACATTTTTTTTCAAGAGACTAACAGGCATTATCAATATTTTATCTTTATATTGAAATATTGAAAATAATTAACCATATTCGTATTTTGTAAAATTTACTTCTAAATTGAAATCATTTTTTTTATCTGAAGAAACTTTAAATAATTAGAAAAAATCAGGACACCGATAATAATTTGTATTATTTTCCAATAAGAATTATATAGAATTTATTTCTAAATTTTTAAAGTCTACAAATTTAATTTTAGATTTTTTTAAGATACTAATGATTATTTATATTGTACATAATGTACCTTTTCTAAAGTACCAGGACTTGTATCACTATACTACTCTGCGATGCTGATTGTCGATGACACATTGTCAAAATTTCATTGATACTTTATAAATTCTCATTGTCTCTTTCTTTGTTCATTATCATTATCATTACATAACGTTATAACTTAAAACATAAAAAAGACTCTAATAATAATTTATAAGGTTTTGTTTTGTAATGTTTTTTAAAAAATATCATCTGTAAAAATTGATAGTTTGTGAAATAAATGGAATAAAAGAGCCGCATGTGGCTCATTTAATGAAAAAATGCGGCTCCTTTCGCTCCTCTTACTTCGCGTATGCTATGTTGGACAAAGAATATTCATTTCATAAAGAAAAAGGGCAATCATAGCTCTACTTACGGTTCACTAAAGCAACATTTTATATAATTGGTTGAAATGTTAAGATTACATAATATTCTAATTTCTTTATATATTTGTTTATAAGCTTGAGACCGTTTCCATAGCCTTGAATTTGTGAAGTACAGCGATGAGACTGTTATGTAGTGAGTTGGCAACTAGTGGTAAAAGAGACGCATGTGGCTTATTTGATGAAAAATTGCGGCTCCTGGTTCTCATTTCGCATATGCTAGCAGTAGGATAACGAAACTTCATTTCACAAGGATAAATATTGATTTTATATAATTTGCTCCTTGTTCCAAAAACTAATTAATCGTGTTATTTAACCATTTGCGGACGGAGATTTTTCAAAGTTGACAGTTTTCTTTACAAAACTGCTATCTATTATTATGTTGTGTAACACAAGTCAAAGCTGTTACGGCTTTGGACAAAATGGCAGAAATACTCGCCAAAAAGGCTTAAAAGTTGATTATTGTTATATGAAACCAAATTTGTTTCCAAAATTTAACTACATGATTTGATTTATATGTTTTTTTGTAGTTATTTCATTGAATTAACATAGGGTTTTCCAAACTTTTCCTGCAACAGAACACTTCGTAAATCCTAAAATTTTTACGGAACATTTTGTTTATTTTGTATCAATACAAGTTAACGAAATGAGAAAAGATATTCATTATTTATTTAGTAATTATTTCATTCCAGGTTTTCACGGAATACCTATAAATTGGAATAGTTTGAGAAACCCTGTATTGATAGATTGAAAGTATTTAATTGATTCCTACCTATTTATTTAAGCGTTTAGTGATAATTAGAGGTGGAACATGTCGAAGAAGATCAAAACAGAAATTTCAATAGAAAATATTTTTTTAATGGATAAAATGCGGTGACCGTACAATAAACTGAAATGCATTATATAATACATTTTGCAGAGTTATTCATGATGTGCGGTGTGCTTCATTGAACGAGAACCACAGGGTACCAATATGAAATATGAAAAATAAATAAAAAATAAAAGTATGTAACAAAAAAAATAAATATGAAAATGCTTCTAGCATTAATTAATTAGTGGGAAAACGCCGGATGCGTAAAATAAAATCAGCAGGATGCAGGCCGTATGGTTTCGATTTCAACCAACAATTTTTTTCTTTTTTTGGGTGGTTGTTGTCGACGAGGGGTGGGCCAATTCATTTCGTAACTTATCAGTTTTTAATCCGATCCGCAGGCCTGGTTTTATTTTTTCGTTAAGGGGGGATGGAAATCTTATTAAATATTTTCCATTCGCAATATCGCGCTCTTTTATGGCGGATGCGCCGGGCCCTCCCGCATAATAAACAGATTGGTTTCCACGGTTTCGTTTCCTTCTTTTGTCTCGATCTCTGACTGCCGTTACTTCCTGTTTTAGAAGTGAAGATGGAGATAGGGAGTTGGAGTGCATTACGCAGTGAATAATGCAAGGACCTCTCTGGATGGGTTCACGATCCTGTGTGAGATATTGTGGTAGTCTGAATTTGGCACTCGAGGTTATGGGATTATATTTGCCAGTTCGCAGCCATGAAGATTAATTTTACTGCCTTCTCGGTTCGCCGCAATTCTTTACGAGCCTCTCAAACAGAGCCGCATCCTCCAGACGATTTTAATATTAGAACATCAGTAAAGCGAATTGCCTACCCGGCGCATCCACCCATTTTGATTACGAGTCTTTTTTTTACTAATTAATCTTAATTAATTTATAAACTTATAAGATTGATGAGAAAAGCGTTTAAAGTTTCAATGATTGTTTCAATTTTAAAAAAAACTTGATAAACTTACAAACACAAATGTACAATTATTTTAATATTAAACTTTACACATTTACCAAAAATTTAAAATATTTGTGTAAATATCTCGAAATTTATCCATATGCAATACATACAATAATTCCATAAAACAAAAATATATATTTTTTTTGATATTTTAATTTTTTTTTAAATTTACAATTATAAAACTTTAATTACATGATTACAATTTCTAATTATGAGAAAATCGTTTATTTGTATCAATTTTAAAAACACTTGCTAAACTTACAAATTGATTACATAATTAAACAATTCCAAATTAATAATTTTTACCGTAAAATTAAGGAGAATAACATAAAATCAACAATTAATTTAATAGTAAATTTTACACATGTAAAAAATAAGTTTTTCCAAAATGTTAAAATATTTGTCTAAATATTATCCATATGCAATACATACTAATTAATTTCGGTAATTTTTTCATTATTTATTTATTACATATTTTTTTTTTAAAAATATCTAATTTTTTTTACTATTTTTATTGACTGATTTTTTTTATTTATGGAAACTACATGCAAGAAAGATCTTTTAACATTATAAAAGGTTTTGCTCAAAAAAATTACAACAGAAAAATCTATATTTTTTAATTTTTTAATAATTTTCTAATTTTAAATTAAAATCATATTTTCCCATCAAATCGAGTTTAAATTATTCAAATAAAAATGGGAGGAATTGAAAAGAAATATATTTTGTTAAAACCAAATATTAAAAAAATGTAATATCTATTAAATGACATGAAATGAATATGAAACAAAAGGAAGTATTGAAAAAAATAAATATAATAAGACGTTTATCTATAAAAGAAACTCGAAACTATTATAATTTGAAATAATTTATATAAAAATATTCAAAATACTTAAAAAAACTGTTCAATTTTTTTATTGTTTTATGATTATTATTAGCACTTTTACTTTATTTACAATTTTCTTTATTAACAATTTATTTGACTTTTTTTATAATATAAAAAAACTTGAATTTAAAAAAGAGAATGTACGAAACGTATAGTTTTAATATAGAACACGTTTTCAGGAAGATCATGTAATGGCATGGAAATTGGAATCGAAATGAATTTACTCGATATGAAATAAAAAAAAAGTTGCATTCTGTAAAATATAAATTATAATATATTAATTAAAACATGGCATGGTGAAATAATGAAATATATTGATAATTCGCAATGTTGCAACGTTGGAACATTGCAGGATATTAAAAGTATTTCAAAGCGGGTTCTGGGATGGGGGGTGTTGGAGGGCAATTAGGATTAAGTCGAGATTTACGGCAAGGGCGTGTGCAAATATAAGGCAGTTTTCGGTTTTTCCGGTTTCGCGCCCTTCCGGCAATTAAAACGATACCGAAGCGCGCTTTGACCCCGTAGGTAACGAAAGGTAAACAGTACTATTTAAGTTATTTGCCTGAAATGGGGTGGAGGGATTTGGAGGATGAGGATCAGGAGGAGGAGGAGAGAGTTGGGTCGTCCTCCTGTATTTGCCTGTAATCTATGAATTATGCCGGGCAATACGGTAATCCTTGATTTATCGAGGAAGCTCTCATATTTCCCAGCATTACCGAACTGATGGGATAAAACTACTATACGAACGAAAATGCGCGCCATATTGCCATATCACACACTGACGCCTATTTATTCCATATTATGGCTTCTGCATTCATATATAGGATGATTGATTTTATTATGATTTATTGACGTATACTATTTGAAAGTATTTGTAGAATTTATATGCGCGTTTTGTTTACGGGGATTAATACGGATACACGCGACCCCCACACTCACACAAGCATTCACAAAAACGCAGGAATATCCCAAAAACATTCATATTTTTTCGCAATATTTTGTTTTTTTTTTACATTTATATATATTTATAGCGTTTGTTTTTAGATATTCCGAATTATTTACTCTTCGGCTTAACATCGATGCATTAAAATGCATCATGCAAAAGGGCAAGTAAATTTATTTTTTTTGTTTCTTTCAGGCAAAAGTTTCACACTTACAATAATCGTGTCGACTAGTCCACCTCAAATTGCCACCTACAGCAAAGCAATCAAAGTGACAGTCGATGGACCCAGAGAGCCCAGATCGAAAACCCGACAAAGCTTTCATCATTTTCCCTTTGGACCGAGAGCTTTCCCGCCGGATCCTCTGACCGGAGGACTTCCATTTAAATTAAGCGGTACGTAATTAATGTAATCCAATGCTTTTCTTCTCTCTTTTTTTGTAATCCTTCTTCCCACCGACAAAACCACCCCACGTTAATTAATTGAATAATTGAACTACTATTGAATGTCAGTTATTATAATTTAAGGAAATCTTAAAAAAAGGTGAAATTATGAAGAAAATTTATTTACTATTACATAAATAAGTAAATATCCATATGTAAATACTATATGAAATGCAATTGCTTAGGAATTATTTGAAACCTGACAATTATCAAATAAAAATAATGTTTAAATTATACAAATAAAAATGGCAGAAATTGAAAAACATTTTTCAACTACTATTGTAAGTCAGTTATTATAATACAGACAAATCTCAGTAATTTTACATTATGAAGGAACTTAATTGAGTATTATTAAATAAGTAATTTCACAGCCATTTAATAGAAACTAACAGAATTATTGTAATTTAAAAAAAAATCCATTATTTTTTTTGTGCAATTTAAAGAAAGAAATAATTCCATAGTCAATATTATAATGTTATACTCAAACCTTTTTTTTACATGAATAATTGGTTTCTTAGCAACCCGCGTATAAAATATTATTCATTTATTCAAGTACTAAAAATTCGCAAATATCAATAATTTAGAATGCAAAAAATATAATTAAATGTATACACAATTTTTTTCTAAAAGTTTAATTAAATAATTTAAAAGCCTTCTCAAATTTAATGTGATCACTATTCATAATCCATATGTTAATACTATATAGGAAATACTTGAAACGTGGCAAGTATCAAATAATTTATATTATATATGAAAATACTAACATTAACAACTACATCATTAATTAATTGAGAATCTCTTTAATAATAATTATTATTTTAGATATTTCAACATACAACACATTACGTCAAATAGTCCGGTTTTTATGAGTTCGGATTCACTATATTTTAACTATACTTATTGAGATATTACGTAGAATTAAAGTAACTGATAAAAAATATCTAAAAAAAAAATCGAATAGTCCGTTTTTTGTCAGTTCGGATTCACTATAGTCCGGATTGAAAATATTAAAACAAACTAAATTTTAATCATACTTCTGGACACATTACGTCAAATTAAAGTATTTTAAGTCTCTTTGTGCAATTTATTTCAATTTTATTTAGTCCGGTTTTGGAACGGACTAAGCGAGGTATTACTGTAATTACAAATTATTAATATTTTATTAAAGATTCATTAAATTATTTTTTTTACAAATATTCTTACTGGTTAACAAAATGTATGCGTCAATTAATTTGAGTTTTGAAATTTAATTTTAATAGCAAAGAAATAAATCCATTTTTTTTTAAAGAATACACCTATACCTCGCTTTACCACCTAGATACGTTCCGGAAAAGTTGGCCGTAAATCAACATTTATTCACATTTTATTAGCCGATATTTTTTAGCTGTAAATAGAAAAAGTGTAATAATTAAAGAAAGAAGTTATAACGAATTGACGTGTAAAGAGCGGACGTATAGCGAGGTATAGGTGTATTCTTTAAAAAAATGGATATTGGAAATCTATACAAGATAGGTTTGTTTTTGTAAATAAAAATATTATACTTTTTCAAAGCGAAGGCTTTCCTATCGTGAGCATTAGACAATTGCAGGGCGTCCAATTTGTGCAACATTTGACCCTATTATTCTAATATAATCTGCTTTAACCGGATTAAAATCGGTTCCGGTCTCAACAATACTTTATCTAGTAGTACCTCGGCCCGGTTTCCATAGATACAACAATACTAAAGCGAGCTAGACGCATCGTAACCACCCCCGTCCACACGAAAAGAGAGAGTGCGAGATCGGATGACACACAGAGAGAGAGATAGATAGGATACAGCTCGCATCCATAGCTTTTCGGCCGTGGCACTTCCGTTTAATACCACTGCCATTGCAGGCAAGCACTCTATATAGAATATCGTCGATTGTTCCCAGTTTTTTCTCAGCCTCGTTGATCGTCATTAGTAACTGCAAAGCAAAACATCGGATACGACGATTCCGTTTGTAATTAATTCGCGGAAGCAATAAACATGTGCATATATACAATTTGTTACATGCACATCAAAAATTTTCTCTCTTCTATTATATTTTTTTTCGCATTGCGTTTGTATCTCTATTTTTTTTATTTGGAGTCGGAAAGCGGTTGGGCGAAAATGTTTGAATTTAGAGTTGCAATAATAATGCGAGCGGGCGTCCATTAAATTGCTGCTGCTAATTAGCAATTAAAGTAACGGCACGGTGTCGTTTTAATTGGGTTTTAACTGTGCTGCGCGACACTCACAATCGTGCCACTCATATGCATAAACACACGCATCTATGTTTGCTAGGTTTGATGGAATCACTTCCAGCTAGTTGATGCACACACACTAGGTGTTGCTGTCTAGCTTTGCGAAATTAAACGCATGTAGAGACATCATCGTCGTCATCATAGCAATTTGCGAATGACTGGAGCGGAAGGTGCAGATGGCACATGGATGGTGGCCCCAGGAGCACAGGAGTTCCGAATGCCTGGATATGGCATATTGATTTTCCTCATTCGAATTACAACCCTTTCTGTATTTCAGCCCGACGATACATGCGGGCTATTCTGTATCTAGTCTAACCAATTTAACGATAGGTGGCGCCATGTACTTTGTTCATTTGCAAATCACATTGTCATGATTACAAATTAATTACATATTTTACTTTTAAAAAAAATATATTATTTGAAGACAATTTTTTGTTTTTATTACTTTGTACAAACGAGAAACTCTATTCTATAATCAAATCAAATTCAAGACAGATATCATTTATTTTAATTGTTATCACTAATTAGATATGGGCCACCCGCATTTATGATGATATATGTTAGTTTATTAACACTTAAAAGCGTAATTAACGTAATTTCATTCCTAAACTATAATTGAAGAGAGAAGTGTTTTTTAATAATTATTAAAAAGTATGAGAATGACAGGTTTGTTGATATATTCAATATTTACATATTACAGTAATACAAGAAAAACTATCATGAAGATGGAAGAAAGTTTTAGAAAGGTTGAGGATTTACTTCAGTGATAAATTACAAATAATTATAGATGGAATGAAAGAGATGAAAAAATCATGTTTTTAAGATGTGTTACTTTGTATAATTCAATTTTATTTTTGATGATGTATAAAGTTGTTTTAGTTTTTAGAGGCGAATTTGACTTTACTTGGACATAAAAAAAATATGTTATAATATAAAAGGAATAGAACCTTCGGGGAATAAAAATGTATATGGCATTGAGTCGGGTGGATGCAAGGAAAAACTGGACGGGGGATGTAAATAACGTGTAAATAAAAGAAAAAAGTGAGGAGAGAATGGAAAGCTGCAGAACTGGGAGCGAGTGGAAAATGGAAAGTAAAATTCTTTCAATGTGGGGGAGGCGACTAAGCAAATAATAAAGAAATGTATAATAAAAGTTAAAACACCTCATGCCGTGTGTTTGAAGAGGTTTTCATATTTATTTATTTATGTATATATATATATTTTTTGTTTTTTGCTTGTGAGAGAGAGAAAAATGTAAACCAGAGCAACGAGCCCCCAGCGTCGTCGCTCTGGATCGAGCGAAAGGGATGAATAAATAATGTAAGAGTGGTGGTGCTGTACCCTATTCCTGCGGCAATCGGTGTGTGAAATTTGTCTAATATACGGAGGGGTCAGCGAGGATGCAAAGGAGAAGGACTGGTTATCCTGCTGGCAATTTGCAGTAGGAAGAGTGTCATTAGTCAGGTGTCGTGCACACGCGTTCGCCCTGATTACACACCGGCCTCTTCTTCCTGCTCCTTCCTGCACTCACCCCAAACCACCTCTTCTACCTTCTCTTCCTCCTTCTCAACTTCTCCTCACACCTCCGTTCGAGCAGGATACAAACCCTCTTTCGCTTCCCCCTGGCAACGACCTCACGAAATTTCCACCAGATCAGACGGCAGAGCGCGACGGGGTTGTAAGACGAACCAAATAAATAAACGAAACCCAATGAATTGATTGTTGCGGAGGGATGAATTTGATTCGAGAGGTTTTCCGTTTCCATTCTGAGGGAGTTGGGTGGCGGTTTGGTGTTAGCAGTGTTGCAATGCCCGGGAAAATGTTGGTAGAGGATGAGGAGAAGGAGGAGGGATACTGCCGTAACTAGTTTGCAGAGGACGAAGGGTTCCGATGGCGACAGAAGCAGCGAGGTGGGAAAGTGTGTAATTGAGTTATAGTCTCGCCTTCTGCGCTGGAAATATCTCGGGAGATAGTTGGGTTTTAGGGGAAAGGGAGGCAGCATATGCACGAGGCATTGGATATCCTATCCTATCCGGCTCCGCTCCCTAGGTGTATCATTTATACTTTTCCAGACGCAAAAATGTTTTATATCCCCGAAGTTACAACAAAACGAATATAAAAAATGGGGTGACGTGGATATACAGACGGAACGTCGCATACTTCACGCCTATTTAAATATATTAAAAATTGCAACACTTTGCTAAATTACATAATAAGTTGATACAAAATTGTTATTTAAGGAAAGTTTTGCAATTTAATACAACTAAAGAAATTGATATTAATGACTTTGTTAATTATATGTTATTTTTCTAATTAAGTATGATAATTTGATAGTTCTAAATAATGTTACCTGAATATAATATAACGCTTAGAATTATGAATTAATTTGGGGTTATCTTCTTTGGAAACTTTCATAATATTAATTAAAGCATTTTAAGAGTACGGTGGATATCCTTTAAGTTGATTGTAGGAATAATGACGGAGGTTTAAGGCGGCGTCGGGGTGGTTGTTATAATGCGGGCTTTTTGGGGGAGGAAAACGGGCTTTTCCCTATGTACGTACGTATGTATATATGTATGTACGTGGGGTGGGTGGGTGTGTGTGGCATTTATCTTGCAAGGGTTAAGCTGAGGTGTTGGGCTGGTGATTATTCACCCCCTTACTAAACGGGGTAAGACTAATGCCACCTCGGCATTAAAGGGTTTCAAGAACGTAACTCTGATAAAACACACGGAGAAGGCGTGGGGAGTGGGGTTTGGAGTGGCTCGAGGGAAAATGGAAAGGGCTTATTACCATCATAACATTTTACTGCGCGAATTATTCCGGCTGTCCAATTATTAACTCGAATTGATCTTGGATGCAGTGGGAGAAGGATAGGTTGTAAAATGAAGTAAGGAAGGAAGGAATGATAGTTTGCCCTTAAACATTCACGCTACCGGTTTGTCCTTCGAGTTTTGGGATAATGAGGGCGTGAAGGTGGAGATGAATCCCAAAAGCACAGAGGGAATGCATTAACGGAATGGCTCGGATAAGACCGTGATGATGGTCCCAGCAGTAGTCTTAAGACGTGGATATATCTCAGGCATTAGTTAGCCGAATCTAATGGGGCCGAGAGGGTTGCAAAAGGGATAATGAATAAGAGATTTCGCAGCTCATTGTTTATGCGCCCTCGATTCGCCATTTTTCAATGTTCCGCCCCGGCCTTCAAAACTTTTACTAAACGAAATTTCATTATTTCCTTCGAAACAGCGAAAATAATACTGAGGGAAAAAGGGAGGGAAATAATGGACGGGGCAAGGAGGAGGTTGAGGAAAAAAAAAACAAAAGGGCTGATGCAAAGTGGGGGATAAGGGAGGAGAAGCATTTAAAATTGTAAATTGTCTCTCCTTATCCCGATTCCTCCCTTTTAAATCCCTGGTATTGTTAACATGCAGTAGCTTAACGAAGTTTTTCCTTTCGCTGCCGCGCCACGACCCTAACGAAGTTTTTTTTTTCCTTTCCACTTTCTCCTTGAGAAGGGATGTTTTTTTACGCCCCAAGGCTTATCTTTAAGGGCTACTTTAATTGTGCGCGAATCTTCTAAATTTTCCGCTCCGTTTCCTTCCTTATCCCGTTTGGTAATTGCCCTATTTACTTTCACTTATATTTTTCTGATAGCATAAATCGAATATCGATAATTTGCAGTCGCGATGTTAAAGGTTTATTTGGAGAACAAACATCGGGTGGTCTTTATTACCCGATCCCCTTTCCACTTTATCTTCAAGCAAACAATCGTCTTATATTCGCATCCTGCCCTAGGACTCAATAATATTCCGTAATCCTATATTTCCTGCAAACAATAACTCACGTCGCTCCTGCGCCTGCACAGTAGACTCTATAAATTCGTGAAGATGATGGATGATTATTAAAAGTCTGAAGAGATAGAGTGAGGAGAGTCGGACGGATCGGAATTTAAATAAGAAGCGATGGCGTAAATTGAAATGTTTGATAATTCAATATGAGAGGAGCAGACGTACGTGCGATTTAGTTGTGCTCCTTGATGTTTTGGTTTTACATGAGCCGGGACTCCGTTATAGATCTTGATAGTAAAGGTCCTTGCGGCGCGCCAATGAGGTTTGAGGGTGCCCCTCCCGACCAATGGGATGTCTTAGAGTTAACCCTTTCCACTTTCACCTGAAACCCGAGCCCGGAGCCGGGCCAAGAATCCGCAGGGCCGCTGCAATATCATGTGTACTTTGTTTCGCAAAATTCTCCCCTTCCTTAAACCACCCCCTTCGTTGTTTGTGTATGTGTTTAGATATTGATTTTCATATTTTTCAAGAGATTAATAAGTTAATGTCTTTATCGACAGGGATAGCGCACCACTTGGCAGGTCTGCCAGGACACCATCCGGATTGGGCGATGCTCAGCGGCAGACATCCTTATCCCGGAGGTCCTTTCGTGCCGCACCACCACCCACACTTTCCACCGCACATGTTCGCCGCCGCCGCCTTGGACAGGCCGGTCAATACTTCTCCACGGATAGCAAACGGTTTGTACTTATACTTATTTCCTCAGCAACTATAATAAAAATGTGTTAAATCTTTTCCAGAACCTACATCTACATCTCTCGGTCCAATATCTATAAACTGTCCGACGGCGCACAGCACAACCTCCCCGAAGACATCTCCCAGTCAGGTGGGACTTCTGACCACAGCCGCCCTCTCACCCGTAGAAGACGACATATCAGTCACGGCATCTCCGACGCCTTCACCGCAGCCGCCCCCAGCCTTTCCCGGAGTGGCGCCTCCTCCAATGCACAACAATCAGCTCTTCAACAACGCCTTGGCAGCGAGCATTTTCTTGAACGCGCCGCTTCTGCCGCCGCCCGGACAATGGCTCTATTCGCAATTCTATCCGCAGGATCTGCAAACTTGGATGAGTCTACGACATCCTATGGCTAATAGGAGCTCATCTCCGGCATCACAGAATCCGGATAGCTCTGGTAATATGGACATCGAAATAGAGGACTCGACGAGTCCGAAGCCGACCAAAGATGAGGACGAGCCGGAGCCGAAAAAGGATGAGGGCGTCAATTTGACGGTTCAGAAGGGTCGCAAAGCTGCCATTACACTAATTAAACAGAAAGAAGAAGTGACGTCGAGCGAAACCGGGAAATCCTCCCGCAACAGCACTTCCAGACACACGGACGTTTGGAGACCTTACTAAAAAAAAAACAAAGCGAAACGTTAAAAAATAAAATAAACACGTTAACCAAAAGAGAAACAAAGTTAAACATAAACAGTACCACCGTCCGGAAAGACATTTTCTAGGAAACGAACAAATAAATGTTAAAAAGAGAGAATCCAAAGGCAAAGGGTATTCGAGTGCAATTTCTTCTGTTATTTTGTACATAAGTGTCGATATAGTTTTTAAGTTTTGTAGATTATATAATGAGTATGAGAATACATATGACTGTTTATTATCATGGATGTATTTATCATATAAACCTATGTTTGTAAAGAAAATAAAACATGAAACGAAGTAATTCCAATCGATGGCTAAACGATAAGGGAAAAATGAACACTCTATTGTTGTAACACAATGTAAATAAAAGTTGTAACTATTATTAATTTACTTGTTTTATTATATAATCCCATATACTTTATACATTATATATTCAAAATAATTTATTTTGTAATAATACAATATGATACAAAACAATTTTAATACAATGTCAATTATTAATTAAATTTAAGGCATATTGTATTAAGTATTTATATAAGACTTATAAACTCAATTTAGTTCTATAAGTTTTTGAGAACTGAGATTGAAAATTTCATTCCTAAATAATTCATTTTGCATAAAATCTACTTTCTTTAATTTTTGTTCTATGTAAATTATTTTTTTTATTGATTTGCATATAAAAATAATTGATATTCAAATTATTTTATTACAGTAATCATTTGTTAATAAAAGTTACTAATTTTCATGTTTTTGATGAAACCGGATAGATTGGTTTCATTAAAAACATTTTATATTTTGTAAACTGTAATTATGGTATAAAAATAGAACTAATTATTGTAATATTCAGTTTCATATAAAAAAAATATTTTGATTTAAGTTTAAGAATTGAACAAGAAAACTTCATTAAACTACATAATATAAATTAATGTTCAAAAACGACAGACTTAAAAATTGATGGATGACGAAGATTGCGAGATATCAAGAAATGCAGTTATTTGATATTGTTTTTCTTCTAGACATTTAGTGATTACTGAAACTACTTGATAACTTCCTATGGCTATGTTGTTTTTCATTAGTTTATATCATATGTTATATCTATATCATTTGGAATATAAGTGATTTACCAACTACTATTAATTATCATTGAGTCCGACGGAAGTGAAACTGCAGTGACAGATGAAATTACTCATATGATTGTAATAGTTGGCACACTGTTATGACAATTATATCATTACCAAAAACTATTATCAAATAAATTATGTTTTTCAATTAATTAAGAATTTAATTAATAAAAATATGTTATTCATACATTAAATAATTAGTCACAATTATGACAAATTTATATATTTTCATTAAAAAATACTTGAAAAATATGAAATTATTATCCACTAAATTTTTGCAATGTAATATTTTTTATAGTTACATTTTGTCAATGAATTTAATTAAAAAATATTTGCTTTTTGTAATTATTATTATACAAAATAATTGGTAATTACATTTCTATTACAAAACATACAATTTTTTAAAGATAATTGTCTAAAAAAATAAGAAATGCGTATACAAAAGGCTATTAACTGTAGATTTTAATATAGAGTAAAACCTCGTTTAGTGCATCCTCGATAAACGCCGATTTGATATAACTTTAAGATAGTTTTATATAATGTATACCAAATTTCGTAATAATTCTTATCAACTTTAACCAAATATAAATAAGTATTGTTTCATATTCTTTGAATGATACTAATATTCAAAGGTTATGTAAAATGTAAGAATTTTATACATTAATTTTAATTATATTTCTTTTATGTTAGTATTATGTTGTGTGGCCAACTGGAAAGATAAAAATGAAACGAAATTCCTTCGTGTATTTTGAAGGGGATGCAGAGTAGAAAGGGGTGGCAAATGATTTTTTTTTGGTGTATATATATAGACAATGCCACAGAAGAACCCGCGAATCAAAGACAAGCCATGCGAGAGATCGTGCTGCGAGTCGGAATGCAAACGAAATTTGTCTTCTCGCTTGTCCATTTCTTTTTTTTTCTATCTCCTCATCTCTCGTAGGAATCTTTGCTTCGCGGACGACCGACCACCCCTTCATTAACATCCCTAGAAACGAAAGGGTGTAAATATGAGAGTGTACACGAAGAAACGCTGTAGTTTTTTTTTGCTGTAGAATCTTTCATTGAGCCATTATTTTCCTATCTGCAGAGTTTGCAGCTTGCGTCACAGAAATCTAGACCATTGTGCTCATCACCTGTAATCTCGGTATTTATGCTTAGAGAACCGTGAGGAGAAATTCACGTCTCAGGGAGCACAGCTATGGCAACCCGGCTCCGCTCCGCTCGACGTTGTCCTGGTGATGAACCTACAAAGTCTCCACTCCCGATTCGCAATTATTATTAGGAAAAGTGGCGTCTTCGCAGCCGCACCGAATGTTACAATGAAAGTATAATTTACTAAAAAAAAAAACTGGACCACCCGAGTAACAGAAGTCGGTAAATAATTAAAGCCCTTGAAATGGTAAACGAATACCGAAGCCCCAGATCAACGTATAAATTAGTAATATAAGAATAAGGGTTTCTTTTTTGGCGCGCACGGAATGATGAAGAAAACGAAGGGAATGCAACGCGCGGAGTTGTAGGAGGAGGAGACACTTTACGATGACAGCGCTACAAGGGAGGTAAAAAGGTAACACATACACTCGCACAGAAAAAAAATGTATAAAGAAAAAAGGGAATGGGCCCGACCGTGTCCGTTTCCGCATTGTTATATGTTCAAGAAGACGCAAACTCGTTAGTTTTAATGGTTATTGCCGATGGGCGGGGAATACCCGGCTTCTTTATGTGGTCTAATTACAAATCACTTTGGAGCGTTTCACGTCTACGAATTATCGATGGACCATTTTGGGGCTATATAAATAACAATAAGCGTTTCTTATTACAACCAAACAGTAATAAAAAGTTTTTTTTAGAAAATAACTTTGTCTGCTTGGAACATAAATACATTGAGAATAATCATTATTTTAATTACTACATATAAAACCACTCCTTACTGTTAATTATGAACATTTTCTTCGTACATTTTCATGCAATAAACTAAATTAAAAATCGTTAAATACAAAAAATTATAGTTTTTAATTTTTCATAATTATAACTATTTTCAATAAATTATAAATATACAATCCATGTATTTACTTATTAGAACTACATAATTCATAATTATATTCTAATTAATTGAAATTTTAAGTTTAAAAAATATATACTATAGTTATTATTTGTCTTTATGTATACTATAGGTACTAATTACTAAGACTTAACAAAAAAGTAAACAAAATATATATATAATTAAATAAATATAATCCATTATATAAATAACTAAAGGACAGTAATTACTATCACTAATAAACAATTTTGTGTCTCCTTTATGAATAAAAATAACAATACAATACCAAAATAATGGAATTTTTATTTTTCAAAAAAATACAAATACAAATGTTTCATAATAATGAATACAATAATTTAATGAATGTGGCAGAAATATATATTTCTTAAATAAAGATTATTTTATTCTATAGTCAATACATGTACTTTTTTAAATGTTTCCATTCTTAATAATTATATTGATTTTTTAAAACATATATTTTTTTTTTTCACTTTACTTACTTTTTTACAATTTATTGCTAAATAAAAATGGAATACTATGGAACCTAGCATAACGAGCATTTTACTTAACGAGCAAAATCAATTGTAATAAAAATGACTCACTTAACGAGCGAGGTTCCACTGTACTTCTATAATGCACATTATAAATTGAATTCGATAAATATAAACGATTTATAATAATCGAAACTCTGCAAGTTAATTCATTATCCATGGGACAAAATCGCAAATTTCATTATCAATTAACGTTGATTCGATATAACACGAAGCTTAAAAAATTCAAAAAAATATCTATTAACAATCTTTTAATGTGACTTCGTTTAACGTTGTTTCAGGATATAATTTATCAACAACATATCTATAATATTTTTGACTGCATATGAAATTAAATTAGACATATAAATTTAAGATTTATCTACTCGTTGACAAATTAACTTATTGTTTGTATATACAAAACTTTTATTTAGTGGAACCTCGTTTAACGAATTTAGTCAGTTTAAAAAAAATCCAGATTTTTACTCGTATAGTGAAATATGTACACTCGTTATGCGAAACGTCGCTCGTTAAGCGAGTCATTTTTCTTACAATTTATTCTGCTCGTTAAATGAAATGCTCGTTATGCAAGGTGCTCGAATCACTCGAGCAGGTTCCACTGTATATGCATAATGATGGTGGTACAAAATCAATATAATTTCGCAAGTAATTTATATAATTATTAATGATTAATTCATAAAAGAAAACGTCTTATTACTAATGTCTTTTTAGTTATTTGATGCAATAGAAGATGTTTGAAATTATTATATATTTATAAATGATTAGACAAACGGCTTTTCCTCAAAGAATATTAATTATATAAAAAACTAAATTTTTCATGTCAATAGTTTTCAGCATATTGTCTAGACGTCCAACAAAATGCCGAATACAATACTTTCCCGTATGATGTATAAATTCAATTGATTTTTTTGTTTTACATGAAGAATCTAATTAATACAATCTATCTATAATTCAAATTGTTTGGTATTACAGTAATTGTTTTACACAATTGTCTTTTTTTATTGTAATGAAAATGGATTTTCTTCAAAAGTTTTCTTTATCAAATTATACACTTTTCTAATTATACTTGTGGAATTATATTTAGGTTTTAGAAAAAAATATTTATTCATTTTTCTATATTAATTATAAATCTTTGCTTAATTAATTATTTACTTTATTATATTAATAATTGACTATTGCACTTATTTATTTATTTAATTAATTATAAAAAATATTGTATAATCTGGCATGTATTGCCTCGGCAGTTATGTACTCTGAAAGCATAGAATGCAAATAAAAATGTATATAGTTTTTGTCTTTGGAGTATATGATAACTAATAGTAGTTGGTACACCTGATAGTAAGTTATGTCTCATATTACGCATAGTGTGGATGTAGCCTTACATATCAAGCTTCATTAGATACGAACGTCTCGTTCAAAAGAGAAACTGGAGAAGACCCTGAATGTTTGTTTATGATGATTATTATTTCGTCTTTCGCAAT